TGGAGAGCAACGAGCGGGAGCGGCAGCGCATGCACACGCTCAACAACGCCTTCCAGGCCCTGCGCGAGGTCATCCCGCACGTGCGGGCCGACAAGAAGCTCTCCAAGATCGAGACCCTCACGCTGGCCAAGAACTACATCAAGTCGCTGACGGCCACCATCCTGACTATGTCCAGCGGCCGCCTTCCGGGCCTGGAGGGGCCGGGCCCTAAGCTCTACCAGCATTACCAGCAGCAGGCGGCGGCTGGGGGCACGCTGGGTGCCACCGAGGCCCAGCCCGAGGGCCACCTGCGGAAGTACTCCACTCAGATCCACAGCTTCCGAGAGGGCTCCTAGCGCCTGGCCCCGGTCCCGCCAAGAGCCCCAGACTGATGGTGACACCCCACGTGGACATGGCCCCAGTGGCTTTGTTTTCCCTGAATACTCAGCTGCCTTTCTGGAGCATCCTGCCCCCAGGGGACAAGACCTGGCCGAGGCCATGGCCCCGGGCGGCATGAGGCCCAAACCTCCGTGTAGATCCCGGGACCTGCTTTCCAATTGACTAGATAGGAGTTGACAGGCCCCACAGGCCTTTCTACGCAATTCTCTGCGCTCCTGGCTCCCTCCTGCAGCGAGGGGGTTCCAGGAAAAGGTCCTTGGTAAGTTTCCCCAGTTACTCCGGAGGCCAGGCCCAGGCCCAGGAAGGGACCTGCTCCAACCTGCATCAGAGCCTCCTCATTTGGGGTAAACTGAGGCACAGAGCAACCAAAGCTCACAGCCGCTTGGGGAGTGTGGCTGAGCCAAGATGGTTGAAGCGTTTAGTTTAGCGTCTATCTGTCAGATAGAAACCCTAATCAGATGACCTCAAATTAACTCTCAAGGGACCTTCAGAGGTCCTGGAGGGGCTGGGATGTTTTCCTGCCTCCTCTTGTGTTGGGGGCTCCTGACTGCAGAGGGGCTGAGCCAGGTCAGAGGGTCTGTGGCCTGGTGCTGAGGGGGCTGGAGACAGGACAGGAGAGAGGCTACCAGGCTCTGGTTCCCCTGAGTGGCCAGGGCTCTCAGCCCTGGCGCTTTAGGGAAGGGTGTACCCCCAGCCTCCCTCTGGTCCCACCCAGGTTTGCTGCCCATCGTCATAGTTGCCACTGACTGGGTGGTCTGACAGGGCTTTAGGATGTTGCTGGGTCCTGGTTGGGGCTGGGGGCCCTGTCGGGGGTAGGGGGGCTCTCTGCAGGGAGGAGCCAGGGTGGCAAGAGCTCCCCTCCCCCACTCGGTGCTGTGCAAAGGCAGGGCTGGCACCTTGGCAGGTCTCCGCAGCCTTGGGCCAAGCTTCCTTCTGCTTGTTCCTGCCCCGCTAGCCTCAACAGGCTTGGCGACTTTGCTGTCAAAGAGCTGGCATCTCCCCTCCGTCCTTCTGCCCACAGCCAATATGGGGAGGGGACAGGGCCCTTGGCAGCCTCTGGCAGGAACCATGGTGACAGAGGCTGTGGTGAGGGCAGAGCTGGCTTGGCACATTGAGCCCAGTCCCCTGTGCCCAGAGCTCTCCTAGAGGCCCTCCTGGGGCACCGTGGATGGGGGCTGGGCTGGGGCAGGAGTGGGGCTGTCACAGCTCAGGGCTTATCCCTGATGTGTGGCCTCCTGTCCTGACCCTAGTAGTCCTGGCCCAGCCATTGATTGCATGTCTGGGCTGTGCGTCAGCCCCGGCAGCATCAAGGACAGCAGGTGGCACCCCTGGCACAGCCATTGGCCACTTTGGTCCTAACTTATCTGGTCGGACGCTGGTTGGGCCCTCCCTAGTCCCGATGCAGGCTCCTCTGGAAGGTGGCCCTGGGAGGCCTGGTCTGGTCCCGGTCCCACCATCTCAGTCGTCTTCAGCATGGGTCAGGTGGGGGCTCCAGGTGCCCCTAGACGCCCCTCAGGTGTGGCTACTCTGGAGTCAGTGGTGGTCAGGACAACCAACCAATGGGAGCTGAGGTTGAGAGCGACTCCGAGCTGGGGACAGATGGGGTCCATGCAATCCCTGCTGTGGGTGGCCTGCTGGCTGAACACAAAAAAGTGAGGCCTGCACACCTGGTGGCACTTGTTCTGGCTGAGCCAAGGCCAGAGTAGGGCTCAGTACGTCCCTGAACTTGCTGAGGGAACCAACTGAGCCAAAAGCACAGCGGGCCGGGGGGGCCCCTAGGAGAGGCGCCCTCTGTCCCAGGGAGCGTGCCGGGTGACCAGGACAGCAGGAGCACCTGGGGGTCACCACCTTGTAGGATGACAGCTGTGGGGGCTCTTGCTCTCAGTCCCAGGCCTGCATCTGCACCTCCTCTGCTTCCCAGAGGGTGGCCCAGGCCCAGATGTCTAGTCCTGTACCTGAGGCTGGAGGGCATCTGCAGGCCCTGTGGCCACACCAGGAGTCTTAAAGGTCTCAGTCCTGCTTTGGGGATGTTAAATATGGGGGTGAGGGAAGAGGTCTGGTGACAAGCTAGCCACCTGCTGCTGCCGAGTCTGCGCCTCGACCCTCGTCTGGGATCCCCAGCCCGGCTGGACTCACCTGTCCTCTGAGGAATCCTAAGGCGAGAGGCCCTCACGCCAAGCCCTGGCCCCTGACCCCCGCCTGGGCACCCGGACCTGCCTGCAGACCAGCCCGAGGCGGAGATCCCATCCTCCCACCCAGCAGAGAAACCAGAACTGCAACTTTCCTGTCCAGGGGAAACCCTCTGGGACTGAATGGCCAGTGGCCAGCTGGAATTGTGGTGGAAATGTTTCTTAAATGACCAAAATTTGCTTTTTATTTTTCCTAATGGCCCCTTCAAAGTACTCATGAAATTGACGATGTGTCACAAAATGAAAATAAAAGATTTCATGGCAATCTGCGTTCCAGCACCGGGGAGCTGTGCATTTTAATCATAATGCAGCAAAAAAAGTCTCGTCATTCATACTCCGGTGTAAGTTTTTATTGAACAATAGAGATGTTCAGTGGTGCTGGGCAGGTGAACAGCTGTGCTCAGCAGTTAGGACAGTGTCTAGAGGAAGGGCAAGGTGAGAGCAGCTACAGAGAGTCACAGCGAAAGGACAGGTGGCTGCTGTAGAATGAACCCTTAATGCCCATGCAGAAAACCTGACCAAGGGATGTAAACAGAGACCGTCCACCCCACACAGTCCAGTCAGGCCCTGTGCCCAGACTCATGCCTCCTGGTCCCACCTGCAAACACAGAGACGGCTGGCCCTCTCAAATGGCCCTCCGGAGGGCACCCCCAAGAGGAATGAACCCTCCTGCCATGCAAGGGAAGCTCCCGGGCAGAAGTGTCTGGTTGTAGGAAGCAAACTCGAGACTTCACCAAATGGGGTGTCACTGGATAAAAAGCAGCCCAGAAGCCGCATAACAGGAGGGGGCCGCTGGGGAGGTGCCTTCCTACCTGCTAGGCTGGGTTTGGGTCTCCACTCCAGCCCCTCCTCCCCACAGCATGATCAGAAGTCAAAGATGCCCCCCCATCTGGGAGGGGCCAGCTGAGGCACTCCAGCAGCTGCTCCCAGCCACGGGGTGGCCCCTCCGTCCTCTGTCCACCCATGTGGGGCCCATGCCCACCTGGGGAAGATGACCCCCTCCAGTATTTTTTTCTGACCTGCCAACTCCTTCCTTGACTTTGGAAATTAGACCCTATCTGGAGTCCCGCTCTGAAACCATCCCAGCACAGGCCGCTTCTCCATTTTGGGATGCCCCGGGCTTGGGGGGCTCCTTGTGGGCTGTGCTTTCTCAGGGGCCAGCCTTCCTGGAAGGTTCCAGGCTCTAGGCTCCTGTCCTGGAAAGGCAGGAGGCAGAGGAGGGGGGAGAGGCCGGGGTGGGGGGTCCCGCTCCACACCCAGTGCCTCCTTGCTGACAGGGACATGTGTGGAGATGTCCACAAGGCTTCACATTCCTGGGCTGTTTCTGGTGCCGGGGAGGCCGTGAGCTCAGGCAGCCTCCCTCAAGCTGCGGCCGGGAGCCACATTTCAGCAGAGTGGCTCCCTACCGGAGAAGGCTCGCGGACCACGTCAATCCTTCAAACTGGGTACCCCTGCCTCCAGTGAAGGCGGCTCAGCAGCAGACGGGGCCCACGGCCTCCTGCAGGGCACTGGCCACGCTCGAGGGCCCGCTGGGGAGGCCCTGCTTCCCAGCTGTCTCCTGGGGCGCACTCTTGGAGGCCCTGGTGGCATTGGCCCGGATGGAGATGTGGTCCCAGCCCCCCTGGAAGGAGAGAGCCGCGTCACCGGGGCGGTAGGGGGTCAAGGGGCAGAGACTATCTTTCCAGATGGCTGGGGCCGAAGGACTCCTGAGGGACTCTGCCTGGGTCTCCCACCAACCCCAGGCCAGGTCCCAGCCCCTGGGGCCCAGCACGTATGATGTGACCAGGCAGCCCTGGGCTAAGCAGCGATCCCAGCCGGCTTGCTCACCCCGATGCCATAGTCCCAGCCCTGCCCCTTGGGCTCCAGAGGCTGCACGCCTGTGCGGTGACACACAGTTCCTCGGCTCAGGCTGTGGCTCCCCTGGACTTTGTTGGCGATGACCCAGACCTGGAACACAAACCAGTTGAAGGCCCAGCCCCAGCTGTGGTGGCACCGTGGGGATGGCAGCAGGGAGACCAGAGCAGGAAGCCGAGTCCCCCAAGCCCCCGACCCCAGAGTGAGTGCCTGCCCTCTGCCCCCTGGGCACCCAGACCTGGTCCAGGGGACCCACGGACACTCGGCGGACGTTGTTGGACACGTGCTCCCAGCTGGAGCCCTGCGGGTAGCTGGACGTGACCCCCTGGCGGTACCACAGGTTCCCTGGGGAGAGAAGGGTGACGGCTGCAGTGAGGCCCAGGGCGTCTGGAGCCACAGCAGGGCCTTCGAATCTGGTGGTCTGACCGCCCTCCGTGTTTCTACACTTGCTGGGGCTTTGCCTACCCACAGGGAGGCCCGGAGGAGCCAGCTCTGCCCTCCCCACACTCAGCCACCTGGGCCACAGGGCTGGGCAGGTTGGCATCCTCGGGCACTTTCTACGCATGAGAAACTGAGGACAAGGAATTGTTCACACAAATAGAGGACGGGTCTGGAACCGGAGCCCCGGGTCTCCGTCCAGTGCCTGCCCTTCCCTCACCTTGCTCAGCCTGGACAACTGCCCAACAAGAAAGGGAGCCGGGGACAGAGAGACATCTGAGGCAGCGCCAAGTGGTCACCCCCGCCAGGCCCTAGTGCCTGCCCAGGGCTCCTTGCCACAGGCCTGGGTGCCACCTTCTAGAAGATGCTCCCCGAGCAGCACCCACTGTGCAGCGTCACCTGGGCCTTGGCACTATGCCCTCTGCCCCAGGCCTGGGCAGGGCTGACCACCTGGGGGAGCTGGTGTCCCCATTCTGGGGAACATGGGGGAGGGACCTGGGGGCTGCTGAGAGTCTCATCCCGTTGGGGTGGTCAGGGAACCCTAACCCCCCCGGTGACCCCTGGGGGGCACGAAGAACTTGCCATTCTCATCCACCGCGTACACAGACGTGTGGCCCACAGACACCTGCTGTAACCTCTGTTTGGAAGGAGATGGGATGTGGTGCCAGCGGTCACCTGCAACAGGAGGTCGGACTTCAATGCGGCCGGGAAACACTGAACCTGGGACCCCAGGCACTGGGGAGCACGTGTGCTCCTCTGCAACTCTCAGGATGGGGGGGGTGCTCCAGCCTGCTATGAGCTGAGCGCCAAGCAGAGCTGACCTCCAATACCATGGCCTCTCTCAAGGCCCAAAGAGGCCGTGCAGGTTCCAGGTGGTGGGGCTGCAGGGGCCGAGCTCAGGAACAGGGACACAAAGGTTCCCAGTCCGGGATGTGAGGGAGAGCGAGCCTCGGGCCCACTGTGCGAACCCAAGGCCCTTGGCCCTGTGTGGAGGGCACGGCACACCAGCCACCACCTATTTGCCCATCCTGGTGCCAGCCTCTCCTGTGCAGGACAGTCTAGACATCCAGCCAAGAACAAGCCGGCCAGGACGGCCCTCTGGGGAGAGGCCACTGAGGAGTGGGCCGTGCGGGGCGACCCAGGAGGGTTCGGACAGGACATGCAAAGCACTCTAAAGTGCCCACCATCTGCCCCGGCAGGAGGCCGAGGACAGTGGAGAGGCAGGCTCAGAGGGAGGGGGCATGGCCTTGGGGACCCGGGCCCTGCCTCAGCACCCGGTCCACAGGCTGCTTTCAGTGAGCGCTTGTTGACCTAACTGAAAACTAGGAGACCTGTCCACCAGCTTCCCCTGCACGTGGAAGCAACGCAACCTTGCTCTGACCAGTCACGGTGTGGTGGCACTCACCAGCTGGCTGGGAGGGGGACACAGAGCCCCTGTAGAAGGCAGAGCCATCCCTGGCCACGGCCCACACCTGGTAGTTGCCCCCGATGGAGACAGAGACGAAGGGCTGGTCGGTGCCAACATGCAGCCATGAGGAGCCCTGGAGACCAAGGGAGGAGGGACACTGAGGGCTGTGGGGGCCCAGCCTCTGCCACCGGGTCCCAGTAGCTGGTGGCTACTCACGCCAACATCATCCTCAGCTCCAACTGCCCACAGAGCCCTGTGCCCCCCTGGGCAGGCCCAGGGAGGCCCCAACCTAGCCCGACTACACAGCAGGAGTCCTATTTCTGGATGAAATCTGCCAGAACCCCAAGAGTGACCACAGAGTGGGCAGGCCAGGAGGTCCCGAGAGGCAGGAACTAGGGTGCTCACCGCAGGGTTGAGCTCGGACACGCCCAGGCGGCACAGCACGTCCCCCTTGTCACTGACGGCCCAGAGCGCGATGCTGTGTCCACTCCCGTTGGCGCCCGGGCCCTCAGGGATTATGGACACATCCCCAAGGCCAATGGGGGCCACTTCCAGCCAGGGCCCACTGGTCACCAGCTTACATTTTCTGCATGGTGGAGAGGGGACAACCCTGGGCACCCAGACGCTGCTGCCAGCCTCAGGTCATCTGCCCCAGACACACGGGGGCTGCACAAGGAAGCAGCCAGGTTGCCCTTCTCCCCAAGGCAGCCTCAGTGGGACCCTGGGGAGGGCCAGGACACCTCCACCCACCCCAGCACCTGGTGGGTGCTCCCCCCTCCCGCCCTGGCCCTGCTCCCTGCCCCCAGCCAGGCCTCTGGTCCTGCCCGTCCAGCTTACCAGCAGAGGCTGCCAGTGACATTTCTCTTATTTGTTCTTGAAGACAAACTTCAGAAATGAGAGCGTTGGGCGCCCGCGGGCACTTCCTGGGCTGACATTTACTTTGATTGTTTCCCCTCCCCTCTGCCTCCCTGTTCCTGCCATTGGGACTGAGGCCAGAGGAGAAGAGGTCTGGCCTGGGAGGAACCAGGAGGAGGGGCCGGGCCCCCCACCCCCGTTACCTTGGGCTCAGTCTTTACCTGGCCCAGCACCTTCTCCTGACAAAATCCCTCATGGTTTTGTAGCCGTGATATGAGCTGCAAGAGGAAGAAGCAGCTGAAATCAAGACCACTTTGTGGAAGTTTCTGGAAAGCGACACCAAACACCCACACTCTCTCCACTGTTACAAGGCATGGAGCCTCTGCGAGCCTTGGAGCAGGTATCACAGGACACGATGCTCATCCTTCAGACGCCTCCTGCCTGGCTGGGGTCTCCCTGGGGTCTCCCTGGGGCCAGGGTGCAGCAGCTGTCCAGGGGGTTCTAGCTAAGGGAGCTCTAAACCCTCGACACCCCAGGCCTGACCAGAGCCCTTCTGGGGAACAGTCCAGCCTAGGTCCCAAGGCCTCTGACCTGTCACCTCCCTGGTCAGCTCATGTGGCTCAGGCCCTGGCTGGGGCTCTCCAGGCTCCATCTCCCATTCGAATAAGACTCGTGTACCCTGAAGACCTGCAGCCCCCGATGCCATGCCCCTGGCAGGGACCCCAGCCCAGCAGGCTTGTCAGCACTTCTTTCACCACCCACCTCTGACACTGGGCCTCCTGCCTCCCTAACAGCGCCCGCCTTGCTCCAGGTTCTGCTCAAGATGCCCCTTCACCTATTCGCCTCCCTTGTGTTGGGCCAACCCAGCTCATCAACCAGGGCCTGGCCCAAAGCTCCCCAAGGCCCCCTCAACCCGGTGTACCGGGGCCCCAGCTCGCCCCTCCCACAACCCTGGCCAGGCAGAGTAGGGACACAACCAGGTGTGGAAGGAGCCATGGCGTCCTCCCTGAGCCCATCCAGTGAGGCCAGGGGTGCCGGCCTGAGCTCACCTAGGTGAGCTCCAAACCCTGCTGCCAGCTGAGGCAGGCACACAGGGTCTCCTCCTCAGCCATTCCCGGGTGCCTGGGGGGCAGAGGGCAGGGGCTCTGCCTGGCAGGTGGTGAGGCCACTGCTGGGTCATATGCCCGGTCCCGCCGCTCAGGGCAGCCCGCGGGCCTCCCCATGCAGAGAGAGATGCTTACGAAGGGAAGTCGCTGGCGTACTGCCACCCCTCCTGGTCAGTGCCCCCAGGGACGGCGAAGTCCACGGACCAGTCAGAAACCTGGGGAAGGGGCAGGTCAGTGTGGGCAAGCCTTCCACTCCCCCCCCCCC